AATTGCGATTATTAAATGACTTTGAAAACATCCATTTATTGTACTTTAAAACAAATACAAATAATAATTTGAACTTTTAACTGTTGAATAACTGTTCAGGGTAATCAACTGAAAAACCAATACAAAATTAAATAAATTATACATTCATGTCTACATTTAAATAAATAATATCAAAATAATAACATGTTGCAGTGCACCGTCACAACCTGAACACTCCTTAACATATAGCCAACATTTTGGTTCAACATATTCCACTCACTCACGATTATTAAAAACCATTATCCATTTACTTTGAAAACGTCGATTTATTGGAGTAAAAACATTTGAACTGTATGTTTTTAACACCCCGAGCTTTAAGTAGAATTCAACTGAAAAAAATAATCGGTTTATTTCGATTACGTTGTTTTCGTAATCGTTGCAATCCATAATCGTAATTGCGATTAAAATACGATTAATTGATCAGCCCTAATAGGAAGGCAGTGAAGAGTAACAAAAAAGAGTTTAAAATATTAGTATAAAAGGTCAATATTGTCATGAATATACGACCAAAGCCAAAATCAATGGTGTATTGATTACAAATATTAGACTTGATTGAATTTAAGTGGAGTTATATTTGATATCGCGTGTTAGATTCTCCCCCAATCTTCCCACCTTGTGACGTCCCGTTGATAATTAGTACCCCAGCAGCTCGTCAGCCCAAACACTAGATTACAGCAAGGACAGTAACTCCTCCCCTTTTCGCCTCACACCCCCCCCCCCTTGTAATCCCAGAGGAAATCTCCTCCGCAGCACAAGGTGCAGTGTGTTTGTGTTCATACTGGGAGGGGGGGGAGGAGGAGGAGGGGGAGGAGAGGGGGGCGGCAGATTCTTCTGTCAGTGTGGTGGGAGTAGTGGTGGTCAGTGAAGTGCGTCTTTCTTCGGTGTTTTTGAAGCAGTCTGCTCTGGAGGAGTTGGTTCTTTTCTTCCACACACCAAGACATATTCGAGGTAGTTGGTAAGTTTCCATGTTTTCTTTGCGTGGTTCTGCTCCATTGCACCTGATTTCATTAAGAAACAAGTCGGTTTTATCAACCTGTTTATGGCACAGATCAGCCTCATTTAGGTATTTATACTTACAAGCTAAAATACACCGTTTTTTTAATAACATAAGGTTGTTATATCGAAGAAAGCAGGAACATCTCAAATCATGGGCAGAAATACCTTTTTAAAAGACTGAGATTTGTACAGATTATTAGCTTTTCCAAACAATTCAGCTTTTCGGTATTTTACTGTCACTTCAGTTATCCATTTAATCTAAAAATATGTACGAAATTGTAAAATAAATAGCTATTACAACTTTTTAAAACCCTGATATTCGTATGTTAATGATATCAAATGGATAAAGCAGGAAATGCTCATATCTGAGAAGCCTGGATGAGAGAATATGGGGCGTTTCTGCTTGATAAATTGCTTAAAAGGATCAGAAAGGTTGTCGATTTGAGTCCTACATGGCTGGGATCGTGTAGACGTCGATAATACAGATGTTACACCAGAATGTGTGGTGTTTTAAGGGGAAAAACTGGACTAATTTAACATCAAAACTCTCCTCATTCCTCCACTACAAGTCCAACATACTCAAGTCCTTCCCATTAAAGCATCCTTTCTTAGCTAAGTTCTGTATGTTAGGACTTCAGCGTCGTCCTCTTAATGACTGGTGGTAAACTGGGTCAGCTCTGTGTCAGTTTCGCCTTTAGTCTTTCCTTTGAATGACCTCGTATATCTTTGGAGAGAGCGACGGCGTCTCCTCCCCTCAGGAATATCTGTATCCCCCGGACAATAGACCCTCAGCGCTTTAGAAACAGTGACATTTGCATTTCCATTGAGCTGGAGGCAGTGCTCCTCTCACTTTGTGTGTCACTCTGAGTCGAGGGAAGGTTTTCAAGTTGGAGTAATAGTTTGTGATGTTTGCGATTAAACGCAGACATCATGAAAGTCCCCAAAACTATCGGAGACTTTTCCTACATTTTCCTTCTATCAGAAAGCTCTCATTTGGCTCTTAATGAGAACCAGACACTTTGTGAATACAGATGAACTTACTGTTATGCAAACTAATCTAACTCAGTCAAATGGAGTTCGGAAAACAATTGACCTCCAAAATAGGAACTCAGGCTTAGAATAGAAGCGGATTTGTTCATGTATGTTTATTTATGAAATGCATAGACAAAAGAAGAAAATGATACTTGTTTACACCTTCAATGAACAGCTGAGCATTCAAACAACCTCTGCAAAGTAAATCCTGAACAAACGGTTACTCAGGTTTAAAATAAGTATTTAGTTTGAGTTAAAAATCCTCAGTGACTTTTGACCTTTGATTTCTCTCTTCCTTTGTCCCCTCGTTTATCTGCTCCTTTTTGGGTTGTAGGTGTTATCTTCATTTAACAACTTGACAGGATTAGTACACAACATCTGTTCCTTGATCATACGTAACAAACCAGAGACGGTAAAGAAACCAGAAACAGGTGAAGGTTTAGTTAGACATTCAGAAAGAAGGCGTCTGCTGGGCGATGGTTTCCCCTGCCTGCATTCCTCTGCAGAAAGAATGCATCGTGACCTGCTGGGTCAAAGCTTCAAGCGGAGCGACAGAGATCTCGTCCGGCTGAGATATTTCACATCGGTCTGCCATGAATGAACTTGGGAAACAGTTTAAGCTTCTTAAATATATAAAAAGAGACTTATTTATCCAATCCAACTTTATTTATACAGCACATTTAAAAACATCAGAGTTGACCAAAGTGCTGTACATATATAAAAAGCAGCATAAATACATTTAGACGAAACCGATAGCGCAATTAAATATAGTAAAAATCACTTTAAAGGTCACCTATCATCCTGTATATATTTCTATATATCTGAGACCTCTGCTATTACCTAAAGAGGTAATAGCAGAGGTCTCAGATATATAGAAATATATACAGAACATGTCCGAAGTGTTTTGCTCCAAACACCAAACAGATCATTCTAGCCACGCCTCATATCCCTCTATTTCACTTCCTGTTTCTAAAGTGCTGATTTGGGGATAAAGCTTTAAAGAGGAGGGGTCTGAGCTCATGCGGGACCCGGCAGCTACTGTCTAAACTAAATGCTGCCGTGATGAAACGCCATATCATGGATTATCAAGGATTCTCTCTGAAACAGTTTGGAGCTCAAAGGCTTTCTCTCTTGCCGGTTATACCACAAGGTGAGTTCCTTTCTACTTCCTGCTTCTTCACACACATGCTCTCCAGTACAGGTTAGCTCTGAGTGTTAGCGATGCTAATGTAAACACCGACCATATTACGTCCAAAACAGTCGGGCGTTGTTTCTGATAGCAACGTTTCTGATTGGGCCGTGGGTCCACATTTCAGATATTACGTCATATCGGACGCAAATCTGGATCAGCTCCGTTGTTCCCCGTTTTTAGAGATTTGGGTACGGAGGAAAAGAGAGAGGGGTTTATTTCCTGACGCTGCGTGAGTTCTCCGACACACCTGAGGACACATTGATGTAGAGAAGACATCACAAAGTGCATTTTGCATGATAGCTCCCCTTTAACATCAATAAATAAAACAACAATCACACATTAAAAGCAAGTACAAAGAAACACATGTAAAAGCATGAGACATTAAAACCATACTTGTAGCCACAGACTGAAAAACTCTCAGGATGTTAAATCATTTTAAAACTCGACAAAATAGAAAATGTAAAAAATTCTTATTTTGTAGCTGTTTGGGTGTTATCTCTAAATCCATTACATCGTGGGGGATGGTGGTTGTTGAGGGTTAACCTGTGAATCCGACTCGTTTCTCTAAGCAGCTAAACTCCATCTGGGCCATATGGCTGCAACAGATCTGTCTCCCTCTGCTGTTGTGAAAGCCCTTCACAATAAGAGCGGGGTCAGAGCATACATGGAGCTTCTTCCAAAGTGTGCTCATGATTCGGTCTGTGCATAAAAACACAGCTTGTGCTTATGAGGCAGCTGTGAATGCAATTTGGGTGCAGATTTCTAACTTGCATTGGCGTTGTGGGAAAACTGCAACACTCAGACTCTGGTTTCCATTTCCTCTTCAGAAATAAGAAAGTATGTGTTCTTTCTCAACATCTGACGTCTTCTACCTCTCTTTCCTGTTTCTCCTTCCTTCCCTCGCTGCCCATCAGGGCTAAAATGGTTGATGTAGTGTCCCCACGCACAGTGCCGTCAGAAAGCGATGTTAACGTGGCGAGGAGCTTTCTCACCAAGATTTTGCGAAGCTCTATGAGGTACAATGAGTCAGCCACGTTGTGTTTGCTGGTAGTGAACATCAGTGACCTTTCATTACTCATGTGTTGTCAGTGTGGTGCTAGCTGTGTCCTGAAGTTGTTTTCCAGTGGTGTTCAGCTTCCCCTTTGTTGGTTTTGTCAGTATTTATTATATGTAATTCCTTTTTTTCCAACATGCTCTCCAGGAAAAGCCGCTTCAAAGGGTATGTGCGTAGTACAGTATGCTATCAGTTAGCTTTCTAGGCTTCTTACCAAGCTGTCTGCATGACATCAAAACACACGGATGAGAAATTACTGCATTTCTGAGCAAAAAGACTTAGAAATGTTTTTCTTTTTGTAGGTCCTATTTTATATATGACTACCACTGAGGTTAACAGTCCTACTGCCAAACTAGAAACCCAAAGCATCCGTGTTGAGAGGCTTCAGAATATTATTGTGTAGTAATACTTAAAAAGAGTACATGCATATTTGATATCTTTATTTAGGCCAATATTTTTTCAATTGGGGTCTTCGTTGAAAGACTTACCACCGATAAATATTGTGAGGTATCTTGCTCTAAAGATTTTATCGGAGGTTAACCGCAGACTTGTTGCTTGAGAAGGAATATTTACACAACACTCCTTCCCCAAGTGATGGAGGAGATTAATGGGGATGCCAGAAAAAAACCATTGCAGCTGAAATGTCAAACACTCCCTGGTCTAAAATGTTTTGTTGCCTCTTTGCAGGAAGAATGATCCCGGCTCGCGCCCCCAGTCCTGGCACTCGTCCAAGCTGACAGACGTGGAGCCGCAGCCCGTCTGGCACTCAAAACATGAAGCAAGGTGAGACAGATGGTTTCTGTATTGGCTTGTTTGTGAGTTAAACTGGGCAGAAGCTCCATCTAGCTTAGGGACAAGAGTACACACATCCTTTACTCAAGTAGAAGTACAGATACTCTGGTAAAAGTACTGACTAAACTTCTTTACTCAAGTCAAAGTAAAGAACTTTGAAATGTCCTTCAGTAGAAAGTACCCATAATGAATGTTTCCATGCTGAACAACGGCAACATGACAACGTTTCCATTTGTCCCTCTTCTTTAGAGAAGACCAGGAAATGATGGATACACGGATCGTGTTCAAATCAATAGGCACGCAATGACTCTAAAGAATAATGATCACGCATCAAACACACATTCAGACTAAAGGAACCAGCTGTTTGGGAAATGAGAGAAGTAGAAAGTACAAGTATTTGAGTTCAACATGTAAGAAGTAGAAAGTACAGGTATTTGAGTTCAACATGTAGTAAGTACAGGTATTTGAGTCAACATGAGAAAGTAGAAGTACAGGTATTTGAGTTCAACATGTAAGAAGTAGAAAGTACAGGTATTTGAGTTCAACATGTAAGAAGTAGAAAGTACAGGTATTTGAGTTCAACATGTTAGAAGTAGAAAGTACAGGTATTTGAGTTCAACATGTAAGAAGTAGAAAGTACAGGTATTTGAGTTCAACATGTAAGAAGTAGAAAGTACAGGTATTTGTGTTCAACATGTAAGAAGTAGAAAGTACAGGTATTTGAGTTCAACATGTAAGAAGTAGAAAGTACAGGTATTTGAGTTCAACATGTGAGAAGTAGAAAGTACAGGTATTTGAGTTCAACATGTGAGAAGTAGAAAGTACAGGTATTTGAGTTCAACATGTGAGAAGTAGAAAGTACAGGTATTTGAGTTCAACATGTGAGAAGTAGAAAGTACAGGTATTTGAGTTCAACATGTAAGAAGTAGAAAGTACAGGTATTTGAGTTCAACATGTAAGAAGTAGAAAGTACAGGTATTTGAGTTCAACATGTGAGAAGTAGAAAGTACAGGTATTTGAGTTCAACATGTAAGAAGTAGAAAGTACAGGTATTTGAGTTCAACATGTGAGAAGTAGAAAGTACAGGTATTTGAGTTCAACATGTAAGAAGTAGAAAGTACAGGTATTGAGTTCAACATGTGAGAAGTAGAAAGTACAGGTATTTGAGTTCAACATGTGAGAAGTAGAAAGTACAGGTATTTGAGTTCAACATGTAAGAAGTAGAAGTACAGGTATTTGAGTTCAACATGTAAGAAGTAGAAAGTACAGGTATTTGAGTTCAACATGTAAGAAGTAGAAAGTACAGGTATTTGGGTTCAACATGTAAGAAGTAGAAAGTACAGGTATTAGAGTTCAACATGTGAGAAGTAGAAAGTACAGGTATTTGTGTTCAACATGTTAGAAGTAGAAAGTACAGGTATTTGAGTTCAACATGTGAGAAGTAGAAAGTACAGGTATTTGAGTTCAACATGTGAGAAGTAGAAAGTACAGGTATTTGGGTTCAACATGTAAGAAGTAGAAAGTACAGGTATTTGAGTTCAACATGTAAGAAGTAGAAAGTACAGGTATTTGTGTTCAACATGTAAGAAGTAGAAAGTACAGGTATTTGTGTTCAACATGTTAGAAGTAGAAAGTACAGGTATTTGAGTTCAACATGTGAGAAGTAGAAAGTACAGGTATTTGAGTTCAACATGTGAGAAGTAGAAAGTACAGGTATTTGAGTTCAACATGTAAGAAGTAGAAAGTACAGGTATTTGAGTTCAACATGTAAGAAGTAGAAAGTACAGGTATTTGGGTTCAACATGTGAGAAGTAGAAAGTACAGGTATTTGAGTTCAACATGTGAGAAGTAGAAAGTACAGGTATTTGAGTTCAACATGTGAGAAGTAGAAAGTACAGGTATTTGAGTTCAACATGTAAGAAGTAGAAAGTACAGGTATTTGAGTTCAACATGTGAGAAGTAGAAAGTACAGGTATTTGAGTTCAACATGTGAGAAGTAGAAAGTACAGGTATTTGTATTCAACATGTAAGAAGTAGAAAGTACAGGTATTTGAGTTCAACGTGTGAGAAGTAGAAAGTACAGGTGTTTGAGTTCAACATGTGAGAAGTAGAAAGTACAGGTATTTGTATTCAACATGTAAGAAGTAGAAAGTACAGGTATTAGAGTTCAACATGTGAGAAGTAGAAAGTACAGGTATTTGGGTTCAACATGTAAGAAGTAGAAAGTACAGGTATTTGAGTTCAACATGTGAGAAGTAGAAAGTACAGGTATTTGTATTCAACATGTAAGAAGTAGAAAGTACAGGTATTTGAGTTCAACGTGTGAGAAGTAGAAAGTACAGGTGTTTGAGTTCAACATGTGAGAAGTAGAAAGTACAGGTATTTGTATTCAACATGTAAGAAGTAGAAAGTACAGGTATTAGAGTTCAACATGTGAGAAGTAGAAAGTACAGGTATTTGGGTTCAACATGTAAGAAGTAGAAAGTACAGGTATTTGAGTTCAACATGTGAGAAGTAGAAAGTACAGGTATTTGAGTTCAACATGTAAGAAGTAGAAAGTACAGGTATTAGAGTTCAACATGTGAGAAGTAGAAAGTACAGGTATTTGGGTTCAACATGTAAGAAGTAGAAAGTACAGGTATTTGAGTTCAACATGTGAGAAGTAGAAAGTACAGGTATTTGAGTTCAACATGTAAGAAGTAGAAAGTACAGGTATTAGAGTTCAACATGTAAGAAGTAGAAAGTACAGGTATTTGTGTTCAACATGTAAGAAGTAGAAAGTACAGGTATTTGTGTTCAACATGTAAGAAGTAGAAAGTACAGGTATTTGTGTTCAACATGTAAGAAGTAGAAAGTACAGGTATTTGTGTTCAACATGTTAGAAGTAGAAAGTACAGGTATTTGAGTTCAACATGTGAGAAGTAGAAAGTACAGGTATTTGGGTTCAACATGTAAGAAGTAGAAAGTACAGGTATTTGGGTTCAACATGTAAGAAGTACAGCCAGTTGAGGTGGTTCGGGCACCTAGTTAGGATGCCACCTGGGCTCCTCCCTAGGGAGGTGTTCCAGGCACGTCCAGCTGGGAAGAGACCAAGGGGTAGACCTAGGACCAGTTGGAGGGATTATATCTCTTCGCTGGCCTGGGAGCGCCTTGGGATCCCCCAGTCAGAGCTGGTTGATGTCGCCAGGGAAAAGAAAGTTTGGGGCTCTCTTCAGTTGTTAAGACTTTGCTTATGTTTCACACCAGGCCCAAAGAGTCGTCCACTATAGAGGAGCAGCATCAGATCGGTTCAGTGAACAGCATGGAGCGTCCCTCTATCCCTCCTTCTCCTCCGGCAGGACGTCTTTCCCCGACTAAACACAGCGCCGAGTCGCTCTGTGGACCGGGAAGCAAAAAAGACTCTGGCTTCAGCTGCTTCTCCAGCAACCCCAGCCCTCCGTTTAACGACCCCGGCACATCTGAGAGGAAGGGTACCACCAGCACGGAGAACATTTTCTTCAAGGGCCCTCTGAGTGAAAGGCCTCCCCCACGATACCTTCAGCCCACACTGGGGAACGGAGGATGGGAGGGGTCGAGAGGCGAGGAAACACCTTCCTCTCGGGTCTCCGTCGCTATGAGAGCCAACATGGGCCCCGTGTGGCAGGTACCAGAGAAGAAGAAGTCCCAGTCCCCTCCCCCCCCCTCCTCCTCCACCTCCTCTGCGCAGCGACAGTTTTGCAGCCACGAAGGTGTTTCCTTATTCAGAAGCAAAAACCCACGGCAGGTCGTTTGAGAAACTGACAGAGAATAACAACCAGAATGGCCTCAGATCCCACCAGGAGAACACCACGGAGGCCAGACGTAGCTTAAACCCCCTCCCCACCAAAGACTTCATCCACCCTAAAACAGCATCTGACCACAACCACAACCAGCTGCACCCCGACAAACTCTTCTCCCTGTCCAGTAATGATGTCAGGCAGTCTCACTACACCCAGATACCTGCCCACCAGAGGCAATACAGCGACGAAAGCCCGCTCTACCTGCAGAAAAGGTCAGCTCCTCCCACTAAGATTCAGAGCGTAGGAAGCTATTATCGCAGCCTTCAAGATCTGCCAACGAGAGCTTTCAGCCGCAAACACGTCCGGCACTCCACAGCATCCGTGGCTAACCCAAACCTGGAGAACGGGTGGAGGAACAGATACTACGGCCTGGCAAACAAGCATCCTGTTCAGAGTGCTGAGCTGCAGGCGCGGCAGGGGAAGGCCGAGGGCTGGAGGGGGGGGACGGAGAAACCCCACAGGGTGAGCAGCTGTGAAGCAGGCTTCCTAGGGTCAAACGTTAAAGCTAAATACCCTCTACCTCAGTCCCAGCTGCCTTACAGCGGCAGTCATTCCCATCAAGGAGAACTCTCCGTTACAAGCCGCAGCTTAGAGGACGCTGCAAAGAGAGGTGATGGAAATGACACTAAAAGATACTTCCCGACACATCAAAGTAATGATCATAAGACCAGGCATCAAGACCCGTGGGTGCCTCAGGAAGATCACAGAATATCCCCCCTGAAAACGCCTCTCCTACACTCCCTGGCCCAGGAGGGCAGAAGTCTGACGGCGAGGCAACCAGCCGCTCAGCCGCAGGAGGCAGGCGACAACATGGCGTCCAGCGGTGGAAAGTGTATCCGCCGCAGCGACCGCTACGCCACCGTCCTCCGAAATGAGATCCAGCAGAAGAGAGCCCAGCTGCAGAAGAGCCGCAGCGCTGCTACGCTGACATGTGAAGCCGAGGAGGAGGAGGAGGAGGCGGAGGAGTGGAGATCCACGGAGACTTCTACGTCTTCTGGGGTCTCAAACACCTACAAGGACCACCTGAAGGAGGCGCAGGCGAGGGTCCTGCAGGCGACTTCCTTCCAGAGACGAGACCTGGAGCCTCTCGGACCAGAAGCGACGGTGGTGAAAACCTCAAACGGACGCATCAGAGGACGCAAGCGCTTCCCTCTGGCCAAAAGGATGCACTCCTTCTCAGAGCCTGACAAGATAGACAAACTGGGAGTGGGAGGAGAAGCTCAAGCGGGGTCTTTCGGAGACAGGAAGAAGTTATTTGAGGCCAAACCGGCGTTTTCCAGGCCTGTACTGAAATCCAGTCAGGGTTCAAACCTGAACACGGAACTTGTCGAGAAACAGAACGAGAGATCTGGAGAGTCGGAGGATGCTCTCATATCCACAGAGCTGGAACGCCTCAGCCCGGGACTCGCGCAGGTCTTACTGGAGCAGCAGAGGCTGGGGACCTTCGCTGAGTACCAGGCAACGTGGAGCAAACAGAAGAAGTCTTCGGAGGCCAAGACGCAGGGCAGGTATCACTCAGCGGAGAACATCCTGGATACAGAAGCAGAGGAGAAGCCCGTGTGCATCCACGAGAGGTCCAGATCGTCTCCCTCTGCAGACTTCTACACGCAGGTGAGCAGCCAAGAATGTAGACGGCATAACTTAAAGTTTAATCTAATAGGACTGGATGTTATCAAATGGATGCAAAAGAAAGCACTTTACCTTTTCTTTTGTTGCAGAATATTCCTTCACCATGGATCGACCCTCCCAGCCAGCAGAGCAGTAACAGGTGAGATTATATTATAATTACATATTAAAGACATCAATATAAATATTAGGAGACAAAACAAACAGTTGAAATGGACAGTAGGATGAACAAATAAGCAATTCATTAATCTTACTGTTTTCTTTGTATGCTCAGTGTTTGCGTAAAGCTTTCAGTCATGGGCGTAGGAAGCATCCTCAATGTGGGTGGCACAATTTGACGGGCGGTGTGGGCAAGACCCAGAATAACATTTAATGCTGTATCCTATTCTTTTCAATGGCTTTATTGTATGATATGACAGATGAACAGATCGCCACTGGGCTTACAACTAAAGACACAGCTACGCACAGAACGCAGCATGTGTACGGCTCGTGTGCACGGCTCGTGTGCACGGCCCGTGTGTACGGCCCGTGTGCACGGCTCGTGTGTACGGCTCGTGTGCACGGCTCGTGTGCACGGCCCGTGTGTACGGCCCGTGTGCACGGCTCGTGTGTACGGCTCGTGTGTACGGCTCGTGTGCACGGCTCGTGTGTACGGCTCGTGTGCACGGCTCGTGTGCACGGCTCGTGTGCAAGGCTCGTGTGCACGGCTCGTGTGCACGGCTCGTGTGCACGGCTCGTGTGCACGGCTCGTGTGCACGGCTCGTGTGTACGGCTCGTGTGCACGGCTCGTGTGTACGGCTCGTGTCTACGGCTCGTGTGTACGGCTCGTGTGCACGGCTCGTGTGTACGGCTCGTGTGCACGGCTCGTGTGCACGGCTCGTGTGCACGGCTCGTGTGTACGGCTCGTGTGCACGGCTCGTGTGCACGGCTCGTGTGTACGGCCCGTGTGCACGGCTCGTGTGCACGGCTCGTGTGCACGGCTCGTGTGCACGGCTCGTGTGCACGGCTCGTGTGCACGGCTCGTGTGTAAGGCCCGTGTGTACGGCTCGTGTGCACGGCTCGTGTGCTACGGCTCGTGTGTACGGCTCGTGTGCACGGCTCGTGTGTACGGCTCGTGTGCACGGCTCGTGTGCACGGCTCGTGTGCACGGCTCGTGTGCAGGGCTCGTGTGTACGGCTCGTGTGTACGGCTCGTGTGTACGGCTCGTGTGCACGGCTCGTGTGTACGGCTCGTGTGCACGGCTCGTGTGTACGGCTCGTGTGTACGGCTCGTGTGTACGGCTCGTGTGCACGGCTCGTGTGTACGGCTCGTGTGTACGGCTCGTGTGTACGGCTCGTGTGTACGGCTCGTGTGTACGGCTCGTGTGTACGGCTCGTGTGTACGGCTCGTGTGTACGGCTCGTGTGCACGGCTCGTGTGCACGGCTCGTGTGCACGGCTCGTGTGCACGGCTCGTGTGTACGGCTCGTGTGCACGGCTCGTGTGTACGGCTCGTGTGCACGGCTCGTGTGTACGGCTCGTGTGTACGGCTCGTGTCTACGGCTCGTGTGTACGGCTCGTGTCTACGGCTCGTGTGCACGGCTCGTGTGCACGGCTCGTGTGTACGGCTCGTGTGCACGGCTCGTGTGCACGGCTCGTGTGCTACGGCTCGTGTGCACGGCTCCGTGTGCACGGCTCGTGTGCACGGCTCGTGTGCACGGCTCGTGTGCACGGCTCGTGTGCACGGCTCGTGTGCACGGCTCGTGTCTACGGCTCGTGTCTACGGCTCGTGTGCACGGCTCGTGTGCACGGCTCGTGGCACGGCTCGTGTGCACGGCTCGTGTGCACGGCTCGTGTGCACGGCTCGTGTGCACGGCTCGTGTGCACGGCTCGTGTGTACGGCTCGTGTGTACGGCTCGTGTGTACGGCTCTGAGAGTCTGCCTTGGTACAAAGCAGCAGTGAAAACACGGTACGGAGTTTCATTGATTTGGGCATTCTCACAATAAGCAAGTGGAATGGATTTGATAATGAAGCACCGACACGGCGCTCTACAGAGAGCGGCGAGTGGATGGACCGATGCACGGACTTTCCACATGGTAAAAGTGGGGGGTCCGTGAGCGCCCCCTAGTGGTCGTGAGTATGTTGGTAAAATTTCACATTTGAAATAAATAAATACATTTAAGTTTTCCGCACTCTCACGGGAATATCTTCACAATGGAGCGAGGTTAAGTTTGACTTTCGATTGCATGATATAGCCCAGGGCAACACCTTCGTCACATATGTTGCCACCTGTTTGTACCATTTTCAGGCGATTTGTAATCTGTTCTAGAAAAACGATGTGTTTTGGGATATTTGTGGAGTTAGGTGGTCCGCGAGTGTTTTTTTATTGGTTAAGTGTCCTTGGTGTGAAAAAGTTTGAGAAACACTGGACTCAACTAATCATTTTAAAAGGTGGGGGACTTGTCCCTCATAGAATGGCTGCTTTCAGTATATTAAGGCAATCTGGCCGGATTTCTCCAAAAGAATGCATGCAAAGTTTCCTGTTAATGTATTTTAGCGGTGAGATTATCGGGACAGAACACGCCTCAGATTCCAATATCAAAATATAATTTTCTGTCATACTAGATCTTACCTAAGAGTCACGTTGAGGTGAGAAGTATCTTAGTCGTAATCTACGCCCAGATTAACAAAAGGGTCTTGTCTAAATACAGGTGATTTATGACGGGTGGATAAGATCCTGTGTTTGTTTTTCACACCCGAGGCTCAGGTTTCTTAAACCGTAAGACACACTCGCTGTAAACAGGCTACATAAATGTAACGCCTCTAAACCTGCAGGTAAACAGGCAGAGATGTGGACAAATAAACGAATCAAACATGTTTGTGAAGTAAACATTTCCCAATTTGAGAACAATAAAGTACTTCTTATCTTAAACTGAAATGACGATGAGATGATATATAAAATAAGACACTTTCTCAAATTAGACTTTGCCCTCAAGTTTGTCTTAACTTTGACCTCTAGAGTCAGTGCTCAGAATCGCTGACCTTATATATCTAATATATGTTAATATTTGTATTCATTGATGTCCATATATAAAAACATAAAGGACAAAAAAGGACTACAGAGTTCTTGCACCAAAAACAAAGCTATAGAGACTTTCAAAGGGAGGAGGAACATTTCATTTACCTATTAAAACCGAAACAAAGTTAGAACCGATTTACAAAATAAGACACTTGCTAAAATTAGACTTTGCCCTCAAGTTTGTCTTTACTTTGACCTCCAGAGGGAAAACAGAGAGCCAGCAGCGACACCAGGCCGACTGCAGCCCACATTCGGCTCCGTCAGTGCCCAGAATCGAGGGCCCGGTGCCCAGAATCGAGGGCCCGGCTGACCACAGGGACAAACCAGAATCTGCCAACTCCTCCCACTCCAAACTCTCCTCAGGCTCTCTGCTGCCTCCACCAACCAAAGGCCTGCTGCCTCCGCCCAGGCTCCATTTAGGCGCAGAAACCACATCCTCCTCCTCCTCCTCCTCCAAGGAATTCCTCGCTCCAGACGTTCTGTCCAGCTGCAGCTCTGACAGCCACAACTCCTCCGCTGGAAAACAGACGCTCAGAGGTGGAGAAAACGAGGTGGAGAAGGAGCAGCTTTCGTGTTCTTCATCGCTACGGACGCGGTCTCCCTCGCCTCAGTTTGCACCGCTGAGACTTACCGACAAACCGCCGGCCGTGTTGGTGCCGGAGGACATCGCACTCAGGTAACAACAACAACAATAATAATAATAATAACTTTTAGGGGACCCAAGGTAAGATGCTCACCCAGAATGCATCAGGTCTCCTCAGTGCACATCGTCAGGTAAACGTTTAACCTGCTTCAGAAGAGAGTGTAGGATAATACGCTAAATAATTAAGGTATTTATACAAGAACAGCTTAAAGAGTTGACAATTAATCAATTAGGGACAGGGGGGTCAAACTCACATACACAGTGGGCCAAAATAAAAATAAATGGGTACTAGTCGAGGGCCGGACTGGTTCAATGTTTATTGCAGAACTTATTGCAGAACTTATTGAAATGAACCTGGAACTAACAAAGCTTCAATTATTGCCTATAAAAACAACATTAAACATTAAATAATCAGTTGCATTCACATCTTATGGCTCTATCTGCAGAGTCATTTCTTATGGCTCTATCTGCAGAGTCATTTCTTATGAGTACATTTTCCCACAGGCCAACAACAGCTTCAACAAAACTATTCCCCTCAAAGAGAAAACCAAACATGCCCTCTTGTCGTGAGAGAAAGTGCAGAAGGAAGCATCCATTGAACTCAGTGTGCTGCTCTGTGATGCTAGCTCAGATACTTGGCATCTCTTCTTGGGGGCAAGGTCATCAATGTTTGGGCTCAGGCTCTGAGCGGAGGAGACCCTCAGGATGGAGTGAAGGTGTGCGTGCAATATACCGGAGGGCCAGATCTAATAGGAATTAGAAATTATCCTGCGGGCCGAAATTAAATCCACCACGGGCCTGATTTGGCCCCCGGCCTGAGTTTGACACATGTGGTTTAGGAGATTGAGAGAAAATTAAATGGCATCTAGTATTTGGAAGAATTCGTTTTTAGATTTTTCTGTATTGAGTTCTTTTATTTGTAATACTTAAAGTACATATTTGCTGATAATACTTTTCCTTACTTATGCAGGACTTGTACTTGTAAGTAACGGAGTATTCACATACACTGTAGTAGAAGGACTTTTACTTAAAGTAAATGATGTGAATACTTCCTCCACTACAGCTTATCTGTCAGAGATTTTAACTCAAATAGCACAGAAAATGTCAAAAGTACAACCTAAAAACCAGCTGTAAACATGCTGCCTCTTCTGTCAGCTGACGATAATGCCTAAAAATGTATAATGTGCCCACAGAGAAGGTTTTGCTTGTCGGGGATTTCCTCTGCAAATGTCCTTTAAACTAGAAGCTGTAATTTTGTTGAAGCCACATGAGCTGCTGTGACCTTTTCCATTCATTTGTACTGTAACATGCATCCTCTAATTAGAAATGGTCCGCTGTGTGTTTGACATGTGTTGGATGTTTCTATGTGTACCAGCTGTGAGTGGGACATCATCTGATATTGACAGAGATGTCAAAAGTACACACATCCTTTACTCAAGTAGAAGTACAGATACTCGTGTATTAAAATACTCTGGTAAAAGTAGAAGTACTGACTAAACTTCTTTCCTCAAGTCAAAGTAAAGAACTTTGAAATGTACTTCAGTAGAAAGTACCCATAACTAGCAGCTGCTTTAAAGAGTACCTGACCTCCCTTTATATTAATAGAACAATAATGTCATTGTTAGCTAATGAATGTTTCCATGCTGAACAACGGCAACATGACAACGTTTCCATTGGTCCCTCTTCTTTAGAGAAGACCAGGAAATGATGGATACACGGATCGTGTTCAAATCAATAGGCACGCAATGACTCTAAAGAATAATGATCACGCATCAAACACACATTCAGACTAAAGGAACCAGCTGTTTGGGAAATGAGAGAAGTAGAAAGTACAAGTATTTGAGTTCAACATGTAAGAAGTAGAAAGTACAGGTATTTGTGTTCAACATGTGAGAAGTAGAAAGTACAGGTATTTGAGTTCAACATGTGAGAAGTAGAAAGTACAGGTATTTGGGTTCAACATGTAAGAAGTAGAAAGTACAGGTATTTGAGTTCAACATGTAAGAAGTAGAAAGTACAGGTATTTGGGTTCAACATGTAAGAAGTAGAAAGTACAGGTATTTGAGTTCAACATGTGAGAAGTAGAAAGTACAGGTATTTGAGTTCAACATGTGAGAAGTAGAAAGTACAGGTATTTGAGTTCAACATGTGAGAAGTAGAAAGTACAGGTATTTGAGTTCAACATGTAAGAAGTAGAAAGTTCAGGTATTTGAGTTCAACATGTAAGAAGTAGAAAGTACAGGTATTTGAGTTCAACATGTAAGAAGTAGAAAGTACAGGTATTTGAGTTCAACATGTAAGAAGTAGAAAGTACAGGTATTTGAGTTCAACATGTGAGAAGTAGAAAGTACAGGTATTTGAGTTCAACATGTAAGAAGTAGAAAGTACAGGTATTTGTGTTCAACATGTAAGAAGTAGAAAGTAAGGTATTGAGTTCAACATGTAAGAAGTAGAACGTACAGGTATTTGTGTTCAACATGTAAGAAGTAGAAAGTACAGGTATTTGAGTTCAACATGTGAGAAGTAGGAAAGTACAGGGTATTTGTGTTCAACATGTAAGAAGTAGAAAGTACAGGTAATTTGAGTTCAACATGTGAGAAGTAGAAAGTACAGGTATTTGTGGTTCAACATGTAAGAAGTAGAAAGTACAGGTATTTGAGTTCAACATGTGAGAAGTAGAAAGTACAGGTATTTGAGTTTTAAACATGTAAGAAGTAGAAAGTACAGGTATTTGAGTTCAACATGTAAGAAGTAGAAAGTACAGGTATTTGAGTTCAACCATGTAAGAAGTAGAAAGTACAGGTATTTGAGTTTCAACATGTAAGAAGTAGAAAGTACAGGTATTTTGAGTTCAACATGTAAGAAGTAGAAAGTACAGGTATTTGTGTTCAACATGTAAGAAGTAGAAAGGTACAGGTATTTGAGTTCACACATGTGAGAAGTAGAAAGTACAGGTATTTGAGTTCAACATGTAAGAAGTAGAAAGTACAGGTATTTGAGTTCAACATGTAAGAAGTAGAAAGTACAGGTATTTGAGTTCAACATGTAAGAAGTAGAAAGTACAGGTATTTGAGTTCAACATGTGAGAAGTAGAAAGTACAGGTATTTGAGTTCAACATGTAGAAGTAGAAAGTACAGGTATTTGAGTTCAACATGTGAGAAGTAGAAAGTACAGGTATTTGAGTTCAACATGTAAGAAGTAGAAAGTACAGGTATTTGAGTTCAACATGTAAGAAGTAGAAAGTACAGGTATTTGGGTTCAACATGTAAGAAGTCAAAGTAAAAAGTGGTCAGACAAATAAGTAGTGGAGTAAAGTACTGATACCAGAAAGATGTACTTAATTACAGTAACAAAGTATTTGCACTACTTCCCACCTCTGAACAGAAGCACACTCACCACCACGTAACATGTGTGATATTGGGCTATGTAAATAAACATTGATTGATTGAAATGTGTTTCCCGTGCAGGTCAGAGAATGATTTGAAGCTCCCGGCTGAGATGGATGTGAACAGTCCGGTGAGGAAAGTCCCGGTGAGGATCGTCCACTCTGAGAGCGTCTCGGAGCGAGATGTTCGAGCGTATCTGCCTCAAAACAGCGACACCTGCATCGTCTTCGAACCACCAGCAAACTTCCCCTCTTTGAACACAGCAGAGCGTCCGGCTTCCTCTCTTTTCAGCGCCTACACTCGTCAGGATCCAGCTCCGAATCCGATCCCGGAGTCGAGTCCAGCGGGGGGTCTGCGCTCAGTGGAGGACGCCAAGAGAGAGGAGCTGGCCCGAGACATCATGGGGAAAGACAAGTCTCTCGCAGACATCTTGGACCAGAGCGGCAGAAAGACCACCATGGACCTGATGGAGGGGCTGTTCCCCACGGAGGAGCAGATCCTGGAGGAGGGGCAGCAGCGCAGGAGAGCCTCTTCTGGATCCAGACTGCCCACATCGTCCCCCAGAAGCATGGACAGGTGTGTGTGTGTGTGTGTGTGTGGTGTGTGTGTGTGTGTGTGTGTGTGTGTGTGTGTGTGTGTGTGTGTGTGTGTGTGTGTGTGTGGGTGTGTGTGTGTGTGTGTGTGTGTGTGTGTGTGTGTGTGTGTGTGTGTGGTGTGTGTGTGTGTTTGTGTGTGTGTGTGTGTGTGTTGTGTGGTGTGTGTGTGTGTGTGTGTGTGTGTGTGTGTGTGTGTGTGTGTGTAAATGAACAAATTAGACTCAATCAAGTTGTAAAGCGTCTTCTGTTGGACAAATGTCTCTTTCATAACGACCGCTTTGCAAAGTCAAAGCTATTTACCTGTGTGTGTGTATATCTATGTGTGTGTGTGTATATCTATGTGTGTGTGTCAGGAGGGAGGAGGAGGATGCTTCTGTGTCTGCAGTAGCCTCCCTGGTTCCCAGCTCCTCGTACTACAACACATCAGCTCCCAAAGCGGAGCTCCTCATCAAGATGAAGGACATGCAGGAGCAGCTGGAGGACTCTGAGGACGAGCTGGACGTCGACCTGGCCAGCAAGAAGGTAACACTCCCCCACTGAGAGACAAAAAGCAAGACATATATGATGTTTTATAACACACAGACAATAATACTCTCAACCTGTATGTTGAAATGTGCTTAAACATTGACTTACATTGAATTTGAGTGGGTCAACTTTCTCCCATCGTTTAACTGGACTATTCTTCACACTGTACATTTTAATTTAAGTTTCATTGCTATTCCTTGCACACTTAATGTGAATAATATCCTATTTTGAAATTGTGTTGGCTTCATTGTGTTCAACTTTTGAGATGTTCATATGTTGTATATGTTCATATTCTACTCTGTTAGTGTCACATTACGTGCAATGCCTTGTTTTTAAATGCTAAAATGTCCCAAGTAAATGTCAATCAAGTAAATCTCATCTTGTCTGACTCTGAATGCTCCATGTGTGTTTTTCTCTGCAGCAAGAGCTGATTTCCAGCCTGGCGAGGAAGCTGGAGGTGCTTCGGGAGGCCCGGAGGAGTCTTCAGGAGGACGTGGAGGACAACGAGGCTCTGGGTTGCGAGGTGGAGGGCACCGTGCAGAGAATCTGTCAGGCCAACCAGCTCGATAAGTTCTGCATGTTCGTGGGAGACCTGGATAAAGTGGTGAGCCTCCTGCTGTCGCTGTCTGGGAGGCTGGCGAGGGTGGAGAACGCCCTGAACAGCCTGGAGGAGGAGGCACCGCCGGAGGAGAAGGTAGGAGCCTCCGTCACATGAGAGGGGGGGATATGCAGTATTGACGTTCTGGTTATCTCATTTGGTTTTGAATAGTTTACTCCTCCTGGCATCATCGTGTCACTTTGATTTTTATGTTTAAAGAATATTTGATGTCGCAGATGACGACTCAATTCGTACCTGATCTACTTTCAATCAATCAAACCTTATTTATAGCACTTTGATACAGAAAGTGTAACACAAAGTACGGAGAAACGTAACGTAAACACTTATTACAGACAGAAGTGAAAAAAGGATTTAATCTACAAAACTATAGATATTCAATAAAAAGACAAAGACCCTCTGTTTTAACTTGAAATGAAATGAAATTAAGAGCAGATTAAGATCTTAAAAGTATTTTAAAAAATCAATTTTGAAGCTAGATCATCAAATGAATATCCATCTTCCTCCAGCGGACACTAACGAGGAAGCGTAAGTTGCTGATGCAGCAGCACGAGGATGCCAAGGAGCTGAAGGAGAACCTGGACCGCAGGGAGAGGGTGGTGTCGAGCATCATGGAGACACACCTGGACGCGGAGAACCTGGACGACTACCGGCACTTTGTGAAGATGAAGTCAGCGCTCATCATCGAGCAGAGAAAGCTGGAGGATAAGATCCACCTGGGAGAGGAGCAGCTGAAGTGTCTGCTGGACAGTCTGCCGCTGGACCAGAGGCCGGTGCTCTGATGCATGTAGCATTTCCATAGTGTTGTGAAACTGTCAGAGTTCAATTCAAGACGGTTTTGCAGCTGAAGTGTCGGCTGGACAGTCTGGAAACAACTCCTAACTCTGCAGAGGAAACACTAAGTCCAGATCCATCCGTGTCTACATCTGAGAGTGCATGTCCATAGTGTTGTCTTTGTGAAACTGTCAGAGTTCAATTCAAGACGCTCTCCTCACAATTAAGACTACATTTCCCATGTGGCCCTTTGTCGATCAAATATTCTAGTTTTTAACGGAGCCTCAGGAACTAATTTAGGTCATTTAGATCAATAACTGATTGACATTTGAGGACCTTTTTTGCACAGACAAGAACACACATATTGTGTCGTCAAAGTTTCAATAGATTTTATACAAAATATAGAGAATTCTCCCTTAATTTCCAAATACATTCAGTCTAGAGACCATTGATTTCCTCCTATTTTTAACATTTTTTACATCTTTTAGTATCCCGAAGGTATTCATGTTCTTTTTAGCATTTTAAAGTTATAATACATAACAAGCTATGTATGCTGATAGTAACCAACACTATTTAAGGCGTTTTAAGTTGTGGCTTTATTCTCCGGAAACCTTCAATAATGTACTTAATTATAATTACACAAATACAGTTTATAGGTTTTTATGTACAAACCAAATGATATTACTTTGGTTGTTACTTTATCTTACACTGTCTCCCTTTTGTAATTAATAACCATCACGTGTTTTATTTTAGTTTCATTTTGTATTTATTGTTTTGGTAATTTATTTTCACTCGTGACGTATTTTTTGTTGTTTTCTAACAAAATGAAATGAAGTTTGATTTCCAAATGATATTTGATTTGCTTTGACGACCAACAGTATCTCCCTTTGTGCAGAGCAGGGGGGTCAAACTCAAGGCCCGGGGGCCAAATCCGGCCCGCCACTTCATTTGATGTGGCCCACAAGAGCTTGCAAGAATATAATCAGTTTATTATGGTTACATGCCGCTTTACATGATCAGGTTGCCCATAAACTACATGTCCCACAATGCATCTGAAATTAGACATTTTTCTCAGAATTAGAAAATGTTACTTTTTTTTTTTTAAATGTTACTTATTTTTAAAAATATCACGTTTTCCCCCAAAATCTCACTTATTTATTTTTTTCCAGAATGTGGCTTTTCTTTTAAAATCATTTTGTGACATTCTCACTGAAGAGACTTGTAATTATTTGCCCTAGACTTCTGCTTTCAGACATAGTTACTTATGAAGTTTTTACCCTATCCGATAATAATCCAAAGCAGAGTCAATAAAGTAATATAATACATTATTTTATATATATTAAATATGTATTTTTATATAGTCTTATAGTTACAACCGGCCCTTTGAGTGCAACCATAATGATGAATTTGAGTTTGACCCCCCTGGTGTAGAGCATGACTCTTAAAGGGTCGATGTCTTTCACACATGATGAGTTTCTCTTTTCAGAGTGACACCTTTTGGATTTACGCTAGCTAAAAAAACTGGACGATGTTGGATTTTTCCAGCGGTACAGATTGTCTGAGTGGTTGTTCAGCTGAAGCTCCCACTCAAACACTTTTGACGACGGCCTCACAACCACCGGATTTATTTATTGTTTTTCTCAGAGTGAAGGCGCAGTTTCTATACAGGTTCATTTAAAAACACGCACTTTACGCTCTGCTTTGAGGACTTTCTACATTCATATTTATTTGAATACGTGCCTACCGTAGCCTCTCGTGGACTGACGTGGGGAACGGCCCACTCAGGTGCACCTTTCACCAACTTTAAGCAATAAAATGATAAAGCTGTGACACATGGTGATCTTCTTGTGAATTGTTTTATTATAAGTGACGTCAGTTTTATATCTCACTTAGAAACCGTTTTACCCAATGACGAACAGCCGTTGCATCAACCTAGAAATCACCTTTCAATTATTTAACACTTTAAGTTATCTGCTATTCTTTTTAAATCAAATCAAGTTTTATTTATATAGCACATTTATTAACGATTTTATTTTATGTAGAGACACTTTACAGCAAATACAACAGCACAGATTGTTCAGAGTATCAGTATGAGAAAAACGACACCCTCTGTCCTCAGACCCTCTGTCCTTAGACCCTCTGTCCTCAGACCCTCTGTCCTCAGACCCTCTGTCCTTAGACCCTCTGTCCTTAGACCCTCTGTCAGACCCTCTGTCCTCAGACCCTCTGTCCTTAGACCCTCTGTCCTAGACCCTCTGTCCTCAGACCCTCTGTCCTTAGACCCTCTGTCCTAGACCCTCTGTCCTCAGACCCTCTGTCCCAGACCCTCTGTCCTTTAGACCCTCTGTCATTAGACCATCTGTCCTTAGACCCTCTGTCCTTACACCCTATGTCCTTAGACCCTCTGTGACCATCTGTCCTAGACCCTCTGTCCTTAGACCCTTTGTCCTCAGACCCTCTGTCCTCAGACCCTCTGTCCTTAGACCCTCTGTCCTAGACCCTCTGTCCTCAGACCCTCTGTCCAGACCCTCTGTCCTCAGACCCTCTGTCCTTAGACCCTCTGTCCTCAGACCCTCTGTCCCTTAGACCCTCTGTCCTCAGACCCTCTGTCCTCAGACCCTCTGTCCTCAGACCCTCTGTCCTCAGACCCTCTGTCCTCAGACCCTCTGTCCACCGACCCTCTGTCCTTAGAACCTCTATCCTTAGACCCTCTGTCCTCAGACCCTCTGTCCTCAGAACCTCTGACCTCAGACCCTCTGTCCTCAGACCCTCTGTCCTCAGACTCTCTGTCCTTAGACCCTCTGTCCTTAGACCCTCTGTCCCTCAGACCCTCTATCCTTAGACCCTCACTTCGTACAAGGAAACACTTCCAGAGAAACCCACAGTTTAAAGGGAACATGGGAGAAACCTCAGGGAGAGCAACAGAGGAGGGATCCCTCTCCCAGGACGGACAGACGTGCAATAGATGCCGTGTGTAAATGCAAGAGAATACATTTACAGCATATAGACCGAATGTTAGGAAATGCATGTGTGCTGTAATAAAGAAGATGAAATCCACGAGGATGTCAGCTACAATCCTGAGGAAGCCATCAGGGAAGCAGCATGACGAGACCCAAGGCAGGACCGCAGAGACAGGTTTAGCCACGACCCGAAGTCCACGACTTAATCCAGAACTCAGGATAGAGGATCCAGGACACAGGACTACAGCAAGAGGATCGGCCTCGACTCCGGATCCCGGCGTAGATATAGATACAAAACAAGAACAAAGATTTGGCTGGGTTAATCGGAACAAGAGAATACACAGACACAGACAGAGAGGGGAGAGGTCATTGGATACAAGTTATTCTTGATAACCCTCTAGAAATCCTTTTAGAGGAATCTAACCTGTTTGCTTTACTTGATATTATCTTAATTTGGTATAAAGTGTACTCTTGTTTGTGTCCGTGTCCAAAAGTCGGGCTGGGACGATGTCAAATACCAAGAAAAGCTCATTTTAACTCCAAATGTCAACAATCAAAGTGGAAATGTGACTGTTAACTATACATATATACAATTGACTTGATGTATTAATATGCATATAATTCAGATGGTCAAAAATACTGATTGTTTCCTAAAGACTCAGCATTTCCCCGAGGATCTTAGACAACATTATCTGAATGCCGTTGAAGAGCTTTTTCTGCCCGTATTGCAGGTCATTATTATCACAAAAATGGTCATATCTCTAAAAAAAACGGTCCCATTATTGATTGATTCTGCTTCAAGCGTTGAGAAGCACTGAGTGGGCCCTCTCGATGAGTGGGTGGAGATAACATGATAACAGAGTTCATATGGATCACAGTTAACGACTTAAGGGCTTATCTTTTCTCTGCAACAAATCACAAGGCTATCTGGGGATTTTGTGTACAATCTCTAATGACGTTTTTTCAATCTGTTGCTCAACGTTTTACTACCTGTTGGACTTTTGACTGTTGGGGAGTTTACTTGGAAAAAGTGGGTGAGAAAACATTTCCTATGCCAATCCTCTTTATCGCGGGATGTCTGACTGTCTCAGGTTTTATTACACCTTTCCCGACATAGCCGTCACTTAACCTACATAAATATCCCTCTGAAGCACTGTGTTCATTTGATTGAGGTAAATATGACAGGTGTGGACATCTGCTGTCGTAAAAGGCCATATATTTGTAAGGAAAAACCTGCTTAGCTGAGTAAATAAATATAGAAAATACACTAAAATGCCTTTTTTCTTTTACTATTAAACCCATTTCTGTATTTAACCTGTAAGTCAACTTTACTCTGGTTGGTTTAACAACAAATAAATACAACTTAAAGTGAACATAATTGTACCTTTTTGCAACGTGATAATTAGCTCCTTTCTCAAACAATCAAAATTATATCAGAAAATTTTTAAAAAATGCCTTTTTTTTTAACCTATAGTCAAAATAAAAGACATGTGCAATAAAAATAAATGTAATAGGCAGACTCAAACTAGATGACACACACACCCTTCCTCTCCATCAGAGCATATCAATATGCTGTCAATGATTTACTGTCTGTTTCACTACATGACAGGAACTGTATCTAGGTTATATGTAGCAGGATGAGGAAGTGTCACTCTGTGTTATCCAGACTAACTGGAGACGGCCACGAGGAGCAGAACGACCCCCCAGGT